CTTTCGTTTCTTTACATCATTGAAGATGACTTAATTATGCTACGAGTACTACTGAGATTTCCTTGCAGTCAAGCCTTTACGACACCCTTTTTGTTCAACTGGTGATGGTTTCTCTCTAGGTGTCTGCACATTTTGTCAGCTGCACTTATGACTTTGTACAGTACTGGCAGACAAATGATGGGCCTGAAGTTCTTCGCCAAAGAGCTGTCTCCCTCTTTGGATAGCAAATACGCGATATCACGTGTGAGCCATTTCGGGAGTTTGTTTCCATATTCCTGATCCATAAATTAACATTGGCTTATATGTTGTGCTGTGTATTTGTAGTTTTGTCTCTATTGTCATATATTCGTGTCATATTGAACTTATATACTAAGCCTGTGTTGTGACTTTGCTAGATGAGAATGTTTTGCTGTTAATTTTTTAATCCAATATTTCTAGATCTTATCAATCCCCGGGGGGTCCAGTATTCCGTGTTCTTAATTGCTTGGAAGAGGTCCTCTTCCGAGAATTCGTGAACATGATCCACTGTTTCCAGAAGTTCATTGGCAGCATCAACTTCAAATTGAAGCCAAAATGCGTCTTTATTGTGGGATCAGCTTTCCTCCCAGATTCCTGTCCAAACAGCTTCGACATCAACGTTTGAAGGTGTTACAGCATTGCCATTCGGTTTTTGAGTCAGATTGCGATAGAATCTCTTTGCGACTATTTCAAACAACCGATTCTGCACACGTAAATCTATTCTACGTTTGTAAATATAATTCGTTAAGCCCGTGCTTGAATTTTCTCTTGTAGCTTTTCAACTACCATTAGCCTTCTTGTGCCATATTCAATTTGGTCTTTTTGTTCAACATTGAATATTTTTTGTTGAACTTTAGAGGTGTTCATTAATTTGGATAATGCCTCAGCTAAGGGTAATATGATGTATTTCACGCCGAGTGCCTGAGATACCAGTTGCATACACAATGTGATTGATTTCAGTAATATGTACATCTCTACTTGGGGTCTGTACCACCTCATTTAAGAAAGAGTTCGCTGTCTCTATCACTCTCTTTGCTTTGTCATTTTCGTATATTCTTATCAATGGTGCACGAGATTCGAATGTAAGTTGACGAACTCTTTCTATCTCGCGGCGAAGGAAATTTCACATCATGTCTTTATCGTGTGTTCATTGCCATACGAATTTTTACCACTGATGTATGTTTCATTGGAAAGAGATGGGCCTTCAACAGGATCATCGTTTTCACGTTCTACATGTTCGTCATGGGGGTAGTTCGATCGAAGAACATACCCAGCATTTCTCTGACTGTCAACAAGTTGTTCTGCTGTGAACTTTCCACTGCTGAGCATGTATCTTCGTTGATTGGCAAGCTTCTTTGAATCTATGGTAGGTTTCATATCTGGGATCCGCTCTCTATTCCTTGAAAACTTCTATTTCTGAGCCCCCATTTTTTGCTTTGGCATAATAAAAGCACTACATCACCTGTAATTGATCCCGTGTCCATCTCTAGCTATGGCTTCAAGCTACTGTCGACTCTGGGTCCCTGGTATTAAGACCCGTGAGCAAGAGCAAGCACCCTGCACTTAGCGGGCTCAGTAACATCATCTCAGTGGTAGGAGGAAAGTTTATCAGGGGATCAGCATTTAGGTAGATACGGTTGTTAGCCCTGGAGGTATGGAAGATGAAATGATGATGATAGTGAGGGTGACAGGACAACACACATACAGACGTACAGGAATAACCCATGCTCGCGGCGGGACTCGAACCCGCGACCTTCTGGTCCGAGACCGTTACGTCACTACTGCCTCAGCAATCTCGGCCAACTCATCGGCTTTTTATATTATTATTATTATTATTATTATTATTATTATTATTATTATTATATATATTTTGGGCATATATCTCAATATAATTATAAGATCACTGCACAGCGAGTCCCCAGAGAGAGTGTCACCTCCCGAGAGAACACTCACTGTGAGACTGATATTATAGACATAGTTAGGCACTATTAACATGAAAAGTTCCCACTGAGATTTGCGACCTTCAGTGCGAGATCGCATGTTTATACTAATATAGGTATGTTGCATTCTTCTTGGAGGTGATTGTCGCTCGTTATATGTTGTGAGAGATAATTGCGGATGACCTTGATTTATATCGATAAAGGAATCCTGACTGATGGTTTCTATCAATGTACGTTATATTGGGTCGATTTTGCCGCGCTGACATGTCCTGTCAGTGATAATGGAGCGATCCCAGTAGAGTGTGTGCTCACTACTTTCAAGCCACATTCTGAGCACATATTTATAATACGACACGAAAGGGGCGAGTAAGCCCGTTAATTGCCAATAATTGGTTGGACCTGCTTCGCCACTTCATTTCATGCCTCTTTTTGTATTCCAACTCTGCCTTGGCTGCCTCACATCCACTTGTCACGTGTTGGATAGTTTTCGCTGCAGCCTTCACATCCTTCTGCACGAGTCGGAACTGAATGTTATGGGAATCTCTCAGAATGTGTTTTTTACGTAGCTTCAATGTGAGCCACGCCACTGGTTCATGGTACATGAAAACGATAATCGGAGATCATGAGAGCACGTCTCATAAGTCTTACCGGAGATACAGAGATCCCTACGTAAGGCGAGAGCACTGCAGTGTTAGCGAACGCATTGATGACATGTTCGACACTGTGGACGTAATACCTGGCAACTCGTGAGCGTAGCCTTGCCATTGTAGCTATCCTGTCCGCTTCCATGGATAGGGTTATCTCCTTTTCCGTTTTCAATGATGGTTGAACAGGCGGATCAAGCTTGTAGAAAGTTCAGAGGACTGGTAGTTATTATCATGCTGCGCTCACTGCTTGCTTGCTTGCTGATCTCTCCACACATGCCTCTCTCCAGAGAAGTCCATCTGTCGTTGAGTGATAGCCAATTTGCAGAGCTGTGTAGATTTAATGAGTCTACAACACCTCGCCCTCCTTGCGACCTTGGAAGAGTTAAACGCCTCAGTACTTGAATGGGGATGATGTTTTCCGTGTGTTTGAGCATAGCGGTTCGAATTGTCCTTCTGGAGTTACGAGGTCGGTATTGCCTCCATTTAATAACGCCTCTATATTGGATATTATTATGTCCGGTTCAGGTGTATTTCATTATTGGTATTGATTATTGAGTTATTATTATTATGTATTATTATTATATTATTATTATTATTATTATTATATTTATTATTTACATATTATTATTATTTCGCAAATTGGCCATTCCTAGGTTACCATGCGAACGGCCACCTTGCACCCCACCAAGGCCCAGGTCAGTATTTCCTCCCTTGGGCAAGTGCACGTGGTCCTTTTTGGAGGGATCAGCACTTTTATCTAAATCAATGCTCTTTATATTCCAGTGTTGTTGATTCTGGGGGATGAAGTATGAGATGATAAAAGGTGAAGGGACAACCACAAACATACACACACAAACGCTCACAACCATGCCCGAATTAGCACTCGAACCCGCGATATGGGTGGGCTACCTCGGCGCACCGATTTCTACTCGTTCTGCGCAGCTGCAGTTTGTGTCACAAACCACGTGGCCACAATACGGGCCACGGCCATCCTTTACTAAAGCCATGATATTCGATTTGGAAACACTGCAAGCTTACAGGGCAGGGGTCGTATTCCGGTCACACATTTTCAATTTCTTTCTTCAATATGTATGAATTTTCCTACGCACAACGTTCTGAATTGACGTACCAATAATTAATTATAAACTGCCAGCAATTAAGTGAATCGTATATTGCAAAAACTGTTTTTGAACTGCTTTTGTAAACTTTGAAAATTAGAATGGGAGTTTATTAACTGGAAAAAAGATAAAAATAACATCAAGAAAAACAGACTACTATACATTTTAATTTTAAAACATTCTCTCACCACCATTCGGAACTTTAAAGATAGAAACAAAATCTTCTTTACTCTATGCATAAAAACCATGACAGAGTGTCAAACAACAATGTTTTGGCATTGTTCAGCAGCTCAAATATACATATATACGTCAGCCATACATACGTATTTAAATCATAGCTATCGCAAAATCACCTGAAACCAGTGCCGGAGATGGACTATTTTGGGCCCGGGACAAGGCTGTAACGTAGCCTCGCTGCCCCCGAAAAAAATTAAAAACGTGAACATTATATCAAGAAGCTGTATGAGGTATTTTATGCCAACAAATACATTTTAAATAACAGTTTTAAGTTAAAGTATTTAGTGATCAAATAATACAATTTTCACGGTGAGATTAAAACGCTACATTTTTTTGTTGTATTTAGTGTTTAATAATATCACTTGTTAAATACATGGAATAATAAAAATGAATTTCAGTTGAAACTATTTTAATGTTAGCGTCATTGATTAATTTTATAGTCACACATTATAAGTAATGACTATTTGAAGTAAAAAAAATATTAAAAAAATATCAGCCTTGTGCTGCGACTTATAAAATTACGACAACGATTTTCTCGAGTTCTAATTTATTTTTCGATCTTTTCCTTCAGTCCTATTGTTGGGTCCCAAGATTTTCGAGGCCCTGGGGAAATCGTCCGGTCTGCTCATGCCTAGTGCCGGTAATGCCAGGAACGCAATGAAAATACCAGCAACTTTGCTGGAGACGCGCCTTTGTTCGAGCCTGTTCTCAAATTGGAGTGTCACGCGACCATTAGGGGAGGATGGCCATGCACGGGCACTTCGTTTAAAAACCCGGAGCAGTCGCAGGTCGCCATGTTCCATGGAGAGCAAGAAATGTACGGAAACATTTTGAAAGTGGCTTAAAGTGACAATTTTTAACGAAAAATAACACAACGGCTTACTTAAAATAAATGTTGCAATATGAAAAAAATGCTTCATATAACTGTTTAAATGACTTGAAACAATTTGGTGACTAGCTGCATTTAAAATTCCCGCTAATATTGTGACGTAAACAGATGCCTGAAGCTCATTGTCTGACCTCGAACACGATGCACATGAGCTCCCCCTCTCTCTGCGCTAAGCACAGTTCGACGTATCGAGTACTATCGAAATTATTCGGCGATCTTCGGCCATTTCCGACTTTCATGCTAGGTTTGTGACGGCGCCATATTGTACTAGCCTTCCTCCACGTTGTGGGAACACTAAGGAGCCATGAGGTACGTGGAATAAAGTATTTGTTTGAAAATTATTAGAATTATGGCCGTTACGTCGTGTTGAAGTTTTTGAAGAATATTGTTGTTTTTATAGTTTCATGCTGTCAATGAAGTTTGGTATACATTTCTTTCAATTACGGAATTTTATGTGTATTATATTTTTGAGATTGCACATGGTGATGTAGCTTTGGGAGTTCATACCATTTTGCATTATCGCTATTTATGTTGAATAACGGGACACCTCAGTAGTGTTGGGATGATTCAATAAAATATTTAAATGATGAATAATTATTGAATCCTTGGTGTTCAGTAAACAAAGTATTTGACCATGTGTGTTAATGTTACAGTTCCTTAAAGCTTCAGAAGAGGCTAGCTGCCTCTGTTATGAGATGTGGAAAGAAAAAAGTGTGGTTGGATCCCAACGAAATTAACGAAATCGCCAACACCAATTCTAGTGAGTTTTTCCTTTCATTATTTCTGAATTTTGTAATTTATTTTATGTGTATTTCAGAATTGTGTAAAGTTTGCAGACTTGGTTTTGTTACTTCCCTTAAATCTTCATCGATTCACTAGTGAAAAGTTTTTTTGCTATATTAAAGATGTCCTAATATTTTAGTTAAATTTCAATACTTTCTAAAACTTTCAGGGCAAAATATCAGAAAGTTGATTAAGGATGGAATAATTATTAAGAAACCTGTGGCAGTACATTCAAGAGCCAGGGTTCGGAAGAATACTGAAGCACGTAGAAAGGGTCGCCATTGTGGCTTTGGAAAAAGAAAGGGTACAGCAAATGCTCGTATGCCCCAAAAGGTTCGTATCAGATTTACTCTGCTTTTGTGTACTTGCGTCTGTTATTATTTCTCTCAATGAATTTTTTCGTTTAGGAACTATGGATTAAAAGAATGAGAGTTTTGCGTCGCCTGCTGAAGAAATATAAGGAAGCCAAGAAAATTGATCGACATCTGTACCATCAATTGTACATGAAGGCTAAAGGTATAAATTTCTTTTTTCAAATAAAATATATCCTAATGTATTGATTTAGACATATAAGTGAGAAATTCATTGTTGCAGAGAATTATTATAATGGAGCTAATGGCAAGGTCTGTTTAATTGTACCCTTTAACTTACATTTCTTCAGTGTTTTCAAGGTTGTAGATGTTTGGATTCTTGAAATTGCAAACAAAATTTGGTACTTTATATTAAATACAATGATAAAAATGCAGTTTACGGTATGATGTGTTACTGTGCGCTGTTGTTTCCGAGAAAGACTGACTCACAGCGAGAGTAGTGTGTGAGGCAGTCACTTTTTGTACAATTGTGACTCTACGCTACACATGTCCAAGTGAGGGTGCGATGGTGTAACGGTAAGCGTGTCAGACTGGTATACCCAAGTTGGCGGGTTCAAACTCGATCGAAGCCATGGATTTTTAAGGGTGAAAAATCTTCATAGGCCTTCCTTCGGAGAAGTAAAGCTGGCTGTCCCATGTTTGTAGATTTACTTGCATGTAAAAGATCGCCAAGCCTAAATGATGCCTCTAAGCAAGATTCAAAAATCTCGCCCAAGAAATACCTCCTTCCTCTACTAGTTGGTGAAAGGAGCGTAGCGAAATTTGCATGGTCAGACGGAAGAGCAGGCCTGATGGCCTGAGTCCTACCACATAAAATAAGGCATTAATTCAATTCAAATATCCTTGGGTCTGTCCCAACACATAATTACCATTGTATTTTATGTAAACTCTCCTTAAAAATCATTTGATTCATTCTGTTGTTTTTTCTGGTGCTGCTTGGAAGCACACTGCAAACTGCGTTTCAACCAAAATAATTAACACATGTATTCGAAATTGAGTACTTGAAAATGCCTTTTTTATGGTTTTTTATACAGTTTGTTCATATTATTGTTTGTACAGCTATATCTTTTGCAAATATTCTAAAATTTAAATTATTTTGTCTTATTAAAGAGTGTAATGTCGGTCATACAATGGTAATTTAATGGGGTCCTAAATAAGCAACATTAATGGTGGAAACATTGTTAGTTAGTAAACCAATGGCCTTCATCCAATGTTATTCATTGATCAATCTGTCTCAATTAGGGACTCTGAATTTGAAATTTGATCTTTTAATTTTAGAGGGTATTTTTTTACAAAAGTAATTTTCTCAATGATTCCAATTTTTTTCTATACATTTCCTGTTCTAAAAGAAAACATTGCGCTTTAAAACGGTTTGTTTTTTAAACCTGGATTTTCAAAATTATAGTAATTTCAATCTCACAGGAAGAGATATGACAAGAGAAAATTACGAATACACAACAAAATCTAAGCCACCGTTAATGTATGGATCAGAGCAGTCAGAGATTTTCCGCCATCTGGTGGGAATTAAATGTCTAGGTCAACAAAGAAACACTGAAATCTAAAAATCAAAATAATAATAATAAAGGGAGTGAAATTAAAGAGAATAAGAGATGACATCCCCATGTGCAAAGAATGCAAGTGGTAAGATTTCCCTAATCAGCTATAAAGACATAGGGCAATGAAATATAGGAAGACTCAATAAAAGATGGATTGCTCAAGAATATCAGAAGGAATAATCACCTGATCTACTGTCTTTAACATGAACAGCCCCAGACCTATTATCCTGCTGTTCATGATTATAAGTTCAATTTCTTTTTGATAGGTTCCCAGAAGAGTTGATCCTTCAAAACTTAACCTTAAAAGGGCTCAAATTTTGTAGTGAAAGGGTTAAAAATATCTGGGAGTTGTACATGTTCAATTTGAAATTGAGATTGTATATTCAGAATTTTCTTTAATGCAAAACATTTTCTTGAATTTTATGTTGCTGGGGAGTTCAGTTGTTCCCCTGATGGATTAAAATAGGCATTTCGCTGGCAGGGTCACATGGTTGTATGAAGAACAGGGCTGCTTTTGAGAAATAAGGCCTTGGAAGGTTTGAGGATCTTCATATCATTTCTGTATAAAGTTTTAATACTTTTGTTTTTAAAATCCTAAAACTTGGGTGAAAATGGAAATCAATTGCAGTATTGCTTTTCAAATATCAATTTGAGCAAATTATTGAAAATTTCATTTGGTAACGCAAATTTGAAGTAGTGCTGCTTCATCAGCATTATTGGTGGTGATTACATAGATTATAATGCACCTTCTATTCTACTAACCATACTACGTATCACTCAAAAAATGCAAACACAAAATTGTGAAGACTTTTTTGATAAGGATTCATTAAATTATTTCCAAATCTCATATTGTGATATATATAGCATTCAGAAGAAATTAACTAACTTCAGTATTAAGAGATGAACATGTTGGGGCAAAAATTGAACTTTGTAAATTTCACTCAAAATTGCACTAAAACTAGTATGTTCGAAACATATTCATAAAATAATTAAGGTCTGATATTGAAGAATAGACTGTGTTATCAAAAATCTGGAGCTTCAATTCTGATAGTAAAGAACATATTCATTAGCTACACTACAGCATAAACTACAGTAAATTCAAAATTCTGGAGGGGTCAGTTCAAATATCTAGAGGGAAAATTCAAGTGTCATTAGGACTGCAAAGAACATCCCAAAATTAAAATATTTGATTAAAAATTTTGGGACAGCAACATAGATATATTGCAGAAGATTAATTGTGGTGAAAATTCATGTGGTTTAGACCCGTGATCTTCATAGAATGACACTTTTTGAAAGGAAACTTCATTTTCCAAGACCCCAGACCAGACGTCCAAAACATTTTTTCTGACAATCTTAGGGTTCTATGTTTACATACAGCTTTGTTACTGAGAGTAAACTATATTGTATAAGCAGCTGTATTGTCCAAATCAGTGACCTGTTATCTTTTGAGCGTATTATCAATTAGATCCTACATCAAAGAACTTTGTAACATTATCAACTTATTTTTGCATTTTTCCTTGCATATAACCTGGTAACATTACACCAGCAATTTGAAATAGCAGTACTTCTAAGAGTCAAACCACCAAAAATATAATAGACAGATGAAACAATTTTAATTGTGACTGTGTAGTGCAGTGTTTCCCCTGACAGATGAAACTGAAAGTTGTGAATAGTTGGAGTACCCATCTATGTGTTAGAAGACTTCAATTTGTTATTGCAAAAATAAATAGTGATTTACAAAAAAAAACAATAGTTTTAAAAGCGAAAATAGCTTCACCCCTTTTCCCCTTAATTCCCGTCTGCCGCCTTTGTGTGTTTGCATGGTCAGGCTTAAACCGCTTGATCTCCAGGGACGATTTTGAGGGCTTGGAAATCGCGCACAACACATGTGCAATGTTTATCTAAAACGCTTAATGAAAGAAAAGATATCCAGTAAAAGTTAACTGATTCTCAAACTCACTCCTACTGTTCAGTCGTATTGCCATGACAAGATGCAAACTCCACACTAGTTATATACTTTGATTTAAACATAGTCCGTTCACGTGAATTAGCCGTCGTGGTGTTATTCAATCTAGGGCTTAATTGTCACTACATTGCTAACTCTTAGGAACTGTGAAGAACTTTGTGTTTTATGTATGTTTGCTCTTCATACCTGATTTTCAAGGGCCTGCTGCCTTCTCACTTTTCTCATCACCTCAGTTGTGGGTTTGTCATTTTGGAATGTGTATTGTAAGATCCAATGCTTTCTGTAAGTTTTTACTAATCATTTCTTCAAAATTTGTGGAATCAAATGGTTTTTCATGCAGATGCTAATTTGACACTTAGGCGTTACTTCAATGTTTTTTCAACCCTGGCTCTACTTTTCAAAATTAACTTGTTGCATTTGAATTTCAGGTATTTAGTTGAAACAGATTAAACACTTGTTTCTTTTTCTGACTAGAAGTCTTTTATATATTGATAATGTTTAATAGGTTAATTCAGTATAGCTAAAAATTACAAGATTCGTTAAGTACTTGGTTGATTTACCATCTTTTGCAACAGTATTCAACAGTACTTAGTAATGAAATAAGTTTTCATTGAAAGAGAGTTATGAAATTTATTTTATTTAACTTTTGGTTTTCCCTGTGAATTGTCTAACCATTTTTCAGTCGGCAGTTAATGTATTTCTGGACATCATTTTATTGTTGTGTGTCTGTATGAATGAAAAGTACTGATCACCAAATAAGAGCTAGAATTGAAGTTGTCTCTATCACATTCTGACATTGTTATACTTGCTGCTGAAAGTACTCTATCAATATGCATTTTTTGGGCTACTGTAGTCATGTAATAAACTATTAAACAATAAAAGTAACGTTTTTATATTAAATAACAATTAAATGGTCAGAAGTGCTTTAATAATTGAAAATTGAGCCTTAGATTTGCTAGTATTCCCAATATTGTTTTGCCACATTAAGGGGTGCCCAGTGATGTTGCTAGGTTCTGAGGCCTCAGCACAAAAAGTTGATGTGGGACTATCTGTGATTACTACACTTAATTTGTTTTAAATTTTATTAATATAAATGTTGGTATAAAGGAGAAAAGCATAGACTGAAATTTTTTATTCTTGGCTAATCCATCTGGGTTCCAAATTAGGGCCCTTCATTTTCGGGCCAAGACATTTTTATGCCCATGGGTGTAGCAAACCAAAAGGCGGGATCTCAGAAAATTCCTTCTAATAACATGAAGGGGAAGCATTTAATTTTCCCAGATATTATGAAACTACTTATTATAATAGTTTCTAGATTGCTGATACTCTAGTGCTATGTAATATTTCAAGAGTAGTTAACTTTGGTGTTTGAAAATCGTATTTTGATGCCTTACTTAAAATGTTTCAGGTAATGTCTTCAAGAATAAGCGTGTGCTGATGGAATTTATCCACAAAAAGAAAGCTGAGAAAGCAAGAACAAAGATGTTGAAGTAAGTAGCAAATTTCATCCAAGCCTTTAAATGTAGTGTTGTTGTAGTTCTTGTTTTACATTTGTTTTATTTCCAGGGATCAGGCAGAAGCACGTAGGCAGAAAGTCAAGGATGCCAAGAAACGAAGGGAGGAAAGAATTAGTAAGAAGAAGCAAGAGCTTCATCAGTCCTACAGAGACGAAGATGCTGCGGCAGCAGCGGCTGCAACTGTCGCCAAGAAATAATTATTCCTGGTTTTTGTCCGTTCTTTGATGTATTTGGATTATTTGGTGAAAATAAAATAGTGAAAAATTTTTAAAATTTTATTCTTCCCGAATCACCCTTTTAGATCCCTGTTATAAGCATTTAAGGTTCGTCTATACTTCTGTATTTAAGAACACTGTTATTCTAAAAGATGGATTTTGCCTATAACAAAGTAAATGGAAATTAATGGTTGGGAATTGTGATGTAAGGAATACAAAACTTGCATCAGATTGAGCGTGCGTAATCGATTGTTATCGAACTCGAGGGTTTCCGGAGAATTATGGGTGTGTTTGCTAAGCAAGGAGGTGGGGGTGCAACTTGGTTGACCAACCAATCCTGCGAGGAATTCGTACTTCGTGCGCAGAGCATCTTTTAATACTCCGCAGAGCAGTGCGCGGTTTCAGCTGCGCGTGAACATTGTTGGAATTGGATGATATTTGAGGTTTGCTGTACAGTATACAGTTTGGATGCTTTGTGGAGAATGTTCAAGTCAGGGTGGGTAGTCTGATCGTCGAAGCTTCATGGTTAAGGTGTGATTTTACGGCAGTAAGAGGTTAGTACACCATATTGCACAAATATTTCACCATTGTAGAAATCAAGTTTATAAATTCTTAACACATTAATGCGTGGTTTAGGAGTTGCGTCTGAAATTGACCAAATTTGTTTTTCAATACTGTTGTTCTTTAGTAATGCCGGACCACGTTTACACAAAATGTTAGGTTAAATGAAAATTTGACGGTATGATTAGTAGAACGGGAGGCATTTCAATTGAAACACGTGTAATGGGTAAGAATGAACCTTGTTTGTTGTAGTGTGATTCTATACCTTCCAGTTATAGTGGAATATCTATTTCGTCGTAAGTTGTGTACGATTGACCTACCTTATAAGAAAGCTATTGTGGAGCATTATGGAGGAATTTAGAGATCATTTATCGTTGTTTGTAAATGCTGCAATTGCGATCTGGCGATTCTCGTACTGCCCTTTGCTGACTACTTATAGCAACAAGCTCATTTATAAAGATTTAAAAACGTTTTTAATGTTTTCCAGTCAGTCTAGATGTATCAGTGGGTCATATGTATTCCTTAGTACTAAATAATTTGCAATTGTATTTATTTGTTAAACTTCTGTTAAAATAAGCAATTCTCATCCTTTCTTTGTAGTAAGCACTGGACTGAATGGAATGAACCATGGGAATTGATCAGGTATTTTGTGGTGCCTGATTGATTGTTTCACACTGTGTGCTGTTAATATTTGTTATAGTACATGTTGCATCCCTTGAGTTTTATATTTTCCAGACTTCTGCTTTGTGCATGTAATTTGATGTTTAGGTAGATGAATGTGAATTGATTTAACTATTAATCGTTACATTAAACAAACATACAGTAGAAAGTGAAGCATGTTCATTATATTTTGTTGCATGGTTTTCTGTATATTAAAATATTTGTTTAAAGTTCATGAAAACTTACTTTTCTAACAGTACATTACAATTATTTACTCTAAATTGTTTTTGTAATGGGAAGATATTGTAGTTAATTATATCCCGGGTGTGTTTGATTTTTATAGGATGGTGCAAATGCTGCCTCACAGCAGTGTGAAATTAACAAGAAGAAAAAGAAGAAGAATTTGAATGTAAGTACATCTAATTGTAAATGTTCAGACATCTCTGAAGTGCAGCATATCAATGGTGAGAAGTGTTCTGCAACACAGTGTGCAAATCCACATGAAATCAAACTTAGAGAAATTCATGAAAATATTGAAGAAGCACCTTCCAAATCAAGAAAGTCTTCAAAACTCAAAAAAACAAAAGCAATTGTTGATTTAAATTCTGCCCAAAACTCTGATCTGAAGAAAGAGAGATCTGATCAATCTGTAAAGAAAGATTGTACAAAATTGGGATCAAAAACTAATGCGCCAGATGTGACTGATTTACATTTGGACAAGGAAATTGAAATAGCTAAGAAAGAAGGAATTTCAAAGAAACGCAAGAAAAAAAACAAAGCTAGAAAAACTGATAGTATTGAAGTGTCTGAAGACTGTACTTCGGCTGACATTCGTGAGAAGACTCAACAAGAAGCAAGAAATGATAAGAGATCTAAGAAAACTCCTGTAAATGACCCTGAATGTGCTAAAGAAAATGAAAAATATGAGGATGTAACTAAAAGAAGCACAGAAGAGAAATCCTGTGATAGTCAGACCAACAGTGATTATAAGAGACTTAGCAAATCCAAGCGAAGACGAAATCGTAAAAAGAGAATTTTAGCTGCATTAGGGTTGACTGGAAGTTCTCAGTCTAAGACAAGTAAGACAAGGAGGAGGAAGTCAAACGCATCAGCAGCATGCAAAGAGAGTGCAGAGGATTCCAGTTGCCATGTAATAGATGTAGACAATTCTTGTCCTGATACAGTGTGTGTGAAAAATGAAGATAAACCATTTTCTCAGAATTTAGAAAAGATCTGTCGATCAGTTGACATTGTTTCTTCTGCATCTGAGAGGAAACCACTGAATACACCTGAACAGATTGAGGAGAAGTCTACTGAAAAGAAATTATCTGAAGGCAAAGATAGAGACAAAATTGAAGTTCTGTTACCTCTGTGTAATTTTAAGGATGATCATTCTTCATTAAACAATTCTTTGTGTTGTGATGCTTCTTTGGGAGTAAAAGCAGGGAATTCTAATATATTGAAAGAAAGTGCCAAAGACATTGATAAAGTACTGGTTGAGACTAAAATTTTGCCATCTGGTAGTGTGAAGCAAGTTATTGAAGCGCCATCGACTTTATCATCCAGAAAAGAAGAAACTTTTACTGATAAAGTTAATATTCCTAATTTTCTATCTCATGATAATGTAGAGGGACTATTTCGAAGTGCTTTACTTAATGACATAACTTTGTCTTCTCGATGTTCAGAAAAGGAAGTGAAGAATTTTTTCAATACTTATGGTACTTTTTCTGAGAAAAACAGATCCCAGTTTGCTGAAGTAGAAAAACTTTTGTTGTCTAGTAATAAAATTGAGGAATCTGGGGAATCACCACTGTTTGAATGTGAAAAGTCTGCAGGTGTATCATCTCTAGAGAAGGCACCATTTGATTACCGAAGCTCATGTTTAACAGCTTCTAATTCAGAGATATCTGGTAGCGATAAGTTTTCTTGTGATTCCATTGATACAGGAGGAAAACCTGATTGTGAAGAACACAGTTCAAATAATACTTTCCTGAATTCAACTTGTTCTTCTGGAAGTAGTTTAAATACCACTGATAACGTGTGTTTAAATAAAGGTTCTGGCTGGGGACCCATTTACACAAGTCCAAATCCTGAAAATAGGGTAATAAATAGTGTAAACAGCCCACAAATTCTGCGTGAAAATAAAACAGCACTGCCACCTCTTTCTTCAAGTTTTAACAGTTCCTTATCAAGGCCAGAAAAATCTGAGTCTAGACTTCTGGAAATTGTGGAGAATGTTTTACTTGTACATGAACGAGTCCGGGAGCAGTTAACATCTGAAAAAAAGCTATCTTCTCAGAGATATTGCCCAAACATATCTGGAACTGGGCTATTTAATACTGCTGAAACTAAAGAATTTCAGGAAAAGGATTTACAAACGATTAGAAACAAGAATTCCTCTGTTAATTCTTCACTTAAAAATAACAAGAGTGATTTTGAGTCTGCTGAAGATCAGGGTCAGCTGTTTAAGTTAGACCGTTCTTCCAATACTAGTGTAGTAAGACCTTTGCACGAGTGTCTTGCATCTTGTCTGTGCCCTGAAGAATCAGAGCAAGAAAATTCTATTAAACACGATAAGACTGACTCTGATATATCCAAGATGCAGCGTTCTGAAAAAACAAAAGAGGAAATTAAAGCAGAGAGAGAAGCAAAGAAAATGGCCAAAATGGCTCGGAAAATGAAAGGTGCTTCTCCTCAAGATCCAACTACTACTAATTGTGCCAGTGGAGGAGATACAAAAATTGAAAATAAGAATGATCCTGTTAAAGCACAGAGCATGTCTAAAGAACTTTCTATTGTTCCTCCTTCCCCTGCAGTGAATGTTGAGAAAGTTCCAAAGAATGAGAAGAAAGATGCTTCTGCAAAAAATCAGTCGGCCGGTGGTGCTATAGATACTCCTAAAGGGGATGTGGTGGATGGAGAAATCTCCAAGAGCAAAGCAGAACTAAGAGCTGAAAGGAGAGCCAAACAAGTAAGTTCAATTAAGATAAATTATTGAAGTTTTCATTGACTTTCTTGGGTGTGGCTAATGCAAATGTTAACAGGATGCGCAAAGAGCTGCTAAAGCTCAGCAGCAGCAGCAACAACAACAACAACAACAACAGAAACAAGTGCAACAAGGAGTGAAACTTGGAAAATCTTCTGTACAAACAGAAAAGAATACAGTTATTTCTGCTGAGGTGAGTTGTTGTCCTTTGACATATTAAGTTAGTAAAGTTCATACCAAAGGTAGAAAAGTTACTTTCAAGAGTGAATAGTTGAAAAAAAGAGGTTTTGGAGACAAAATTTTAATCATAAAGATAAAAAAACGTATTTAATTTTTTTGAAATTTGGATTTATTAGCTTCATGAGCAATAGTATTTACTTTTTTCTTGTTAATTTTGTAATCAATTCTTGACTATAATCTGTTTCCAAACTTGTATGTGAATATCGGAATGACTTTTCTTTTTACTAGCCTACTGTGAAATCTGCATCAGTGAAATTGACAAGGTCTTCAGACATTGGAAAAGAGATTATTAAACCCGTTGTAAAGCACAAAGTGAAGTTATTTAATCATCTTTATGTTAAACAAGAAGCCAGTGTACCCAAAAGCATGTAAGTATTTCTTTGACTGATTTGTTGTAGGTGTTCAAATGATCTATAGATAAATAAATTATTAATTTTCTGTAGATCTGCTACATCTCACCTGCATCCTGCTATAATTCGTTTGGGTGTCCAATACGCTACAAAAGTTGTTGTTGGTTCCAATGCTAGATGTTTAGGTTTATTGAGTGCAGTGAAACAGGTAAGATTTTATTTTAATGGAATGTTGAGAACATTCGTAATAGTTTGTTTGAGGAAACCCTGAATTTTTAGGTAATTGAAGACTTCAAAACACCACCTCAACAAGAATTTTCTCGTGGGTTGGAAGCAATATTGCAGCCATCAATGGCTTTTCTACAGGAGTGCCGGCCATTGTCAGTGTCAATGACAAGTGCAATCAGGCATCTGAAATGGCAGATGAGGAACTTGCCCAATAACATATCAGATATAGATGTAAGTAGCTTTAATGCAGGTAAACCTTGTCATTTTTCTCATAAATTGTAGCCTTTTTCTTTTTATTATATAGTTATTAAGGATGGCCAATGACAGAATTATTATTGATGCTATATTTCTCCTAAAATTCTCCTTTTTAAAACTGACATGCCACAAAAAAGAAAACATTTTAAATATTATCGAGTTGTGTTAATTTATGAAGATTGAAATGTCTGTGGCCTTTTTCCACCTGCAAGTTGTATTTGTTAATTGTTGTGCTCTCTGATCTGGGTATATTTCACCATTTCCCAGTTATGTTCATGGTTGGATCAAAAGTAAATCTTAAGTCTCCCGTGATCCCTTTATAGAAGTGAGAGAGTCTTACTTCAATGCATCCATAAATAGATAGAGCATATGCAATGTTAAATTGAGGTATGTTTCTACAGAAAACGTGATATCTAAGACCGAACCAAATTCTAAAAAATGAAGTAGAATTTATATATTCTAAAAAGGATTGTTGATATTTCATTAGATATAAATTTAAATTGACATATCATTAGTCATAATAAATTATCCTAAAAAACTGGACTTTCTCTCTTATTTATAATCATATCAAAGTTTATAACGTGTTGTATGTAAATTATTCTGTTGTAGTATTGCCATAATTGATTTACACAAGCACGATATATTACTTGTGAGAAATCTACAACTTTAAACTATTGTAATCTCTTTGTTATTCAGGCCAAGCGGAAATTGCAAGAAGTAATTGATACGTACATTCGTGAGCAATTAGAAGTTGCTGGGCAAGCAATTTGTAATACTGTGATTCGTTACATTTCGAATGGTAGTGTTATATTAACATATGGATGGTAAGTTATGAGTTAATTTTATTTTATTTAATACGTAGGTCTGTGAAGTTAATATCTTATATAAATAAACTTTGCCACCTTCTCCTAAAAAAGGCAGTTGTGGTCAGGATGTGTCTTAAATATTTCAAAATGTGTTACTTGGTAAAAACGTCTGTCAAAGCAAATATTTCTTAAAGAAATTAAATAAAATGCATAACAATTAAAGAGTAAAGAGAAAAATTTAAATCAATTGAAAAAAATATTCAATTAAACTGAATCAATGGCGTTTTCCTTGACATTTTGCAGTTTGGTTCAAAACCAGATTTTGTTTATCGGTCTTACTCGACTTTAACCCGTGTTAACATGCAATCCTACAGGTTTGTAAAGTGCACTTGTACCTACATGTATGTTAAGAAATTTAACATCCTTCGCAATGTAAATAACCAACCATTGATTCATCACATGTCAAATGTTTATTAAGAAGGAAAAAACAACAACAACAAAAAACATGGCGATGAACAAAAATCAGATTCAAACAATTCAGAATAAAAGTAACTCATATTAGTTTTGGGGGATATGTATTGTTGTGGCTTGCGTTATCTCGTACTGGATCTCCTGGGCTTCTTAATTAAGATTCTTCTTTCTTGAGTAGAAGAAATGAACGTACAAGGAATAATAAGAATTGAATGTATTGTATCACTCAAACTATACACAATAGATTCACAGAAAATTGTCAGTAGTAGTTTCGCTGCCTGTAACTGCCCAGCTTATTATTTCCTGGGCATCATGTTGTCATAACATTAATTGTCATGGGTGCATCTCCACAGCACCCCATCAATGGTGTGGGTGGATGGGTCACCACATCAGCCACATAGGCAGTGTTAAAAGCACAGACTTAATGAAGAAGAACGATATCTTCTGCACAGGAGTAAGCTGGTTTGCAGCGATCGATGAGGATGTTAATTTCTTTATTATCCATTAATAGTTTCATTGTCTTCTGATCTCAATCTACAACCGTATATGGTCAGGAATATGCTGGAGAGAGAGAGAGAGATTCGCGTAATCCTTCTTTTCGTAGAAAAGTGTGAATATTTAGACAAATAGGAGAAAGCAAAGTATTGGGTGATGGAGGATGGTGAGGAAAGGATGAAAGAATTAACTTTGTTCTTGATGCCAGAAAGTGTTAGCAGAATATTGTTTTAAATGAGTTCTACTGAAGCATTCAAACACTTGTTCGGTAAACAAAGTGATTGGCCTTATAAGAATTCAACGGGTGTGGCTCCTAGGTCTGATTTGAAAGAACAATGTAAACTTAATGAAATTAATGACAGTCTCTGTGGCCACGAAGAATTTTGCTCATCACTACAATGTATGGCTGTCTTTAATATGTGACAAAATCTTTCGATCATTCCTTTAGATGTGTGGTTAGCCGTTGTGCTGTTCTTTTGAATTCCGAACTGTTTACTGAGTGTATTAAGCAGCTTTGATTTGAATTGTCGTCGTTGGTCAGATGTTATAATGTGAGGCACCCCGAAACGGGATATCCATTAGTTGGATGAACGTTGATGAAATTCTGGCGTCTGAAATGTCGCGTATATAGTGGTGATGCGACTGGCCAACGCGTTGTTCTGTCGATCATAGAATAAATCGATATCCACTCAATAGGGCTTGTGGGTCTTTTGCATGCAGTAAATCTACGAACATGGGACAGCCGGCTGTGTTTCCCCTCCGAAGGAAGGCGAACTTTGGTATAACAGTCTGATAAGCTAACCGTTACACCATCGCTGCCGCTAAGTAATATTTGTGTTTGTTTGTTAGCCAACACCCACCCTTGGCATGTTAGCCATTTGGTGACGCGCCGACCAGTATAGACGCGCAGACTTTCTTCTCAGCCTGTAGGAATCCCCACGCCCACAATGGTCAAGCGCGTAGATGACGAATCATTGTTGCTCATTTAGCGGGGGACACGTGTGGTAGGTAGTTCACGGACGCGAGCAACTTGTCCCCGCTGTGAATTATTATTATATTATTATTATTATTATTATTATTATTATTATTATTATTATTATTATTATTACTAGATTATGAGGTGAGAGGATATTGGTGAAAGGGGATCGTGGACCTTTTGAACCATACCAGCATTCGCCTTATGACCGAGGGAACCGCGAAAACCCCGGCCAGGATGGTCGGTCCGGGAATCGAACCCGGACCTCCGGATTGCGAAGTCAGTCACGCACTGAGCTGCTTCGCTCGGAGCCGCAAAGTAATGTCTGGCGTTGGCCTTCCTGCCTTAATAAGATTTATATCATCATATCTTTACTATCCGGGATTTCTTTGTCTTGACAACTCAATTATCCGGATCTATTTCGTAATGGGTAGAGATAGAAATTCTGGAGCTAACGATTGTGTGTAGACGTGCGTAGATTATTCTTCTCCCACGTACTACGTTACACGTTCGTGCTCGAAACACTAGTAAACGCAATCTTACTGATTGCGTACCGTAGGGTATAACTCACGTGGTAGTCGCACTTATAATTCAGGCGCGGAACCACGGGAAGGGAAATGTACCCCCTAAATCTTTTCAGTATTATTTGTAACTTGCCACAAAGCTTTCAAGTTGAAATGCATAAACATCTACTACACTTAGAATTTCGCGCTTCAGTGTGCATACACCAATTACGCATTTGTCATTGAAGCGAAGATTTTAGTTTGAAACACTACTGTCATTGAAGCGATGTTCCGCAACGCAGCCGATTGCAGACCCCAACGAAACGCACCGAGCACTTCCGATCGCCCCGTAGACTCCTGATGCCCCGCGTATAGAACGATTTTCTTAAGAATGGGATAAAGTGACAGTTCGCGAAACAAGTGAACATCAGGTGTACTTCAGAGAAGTATCCCTCCGCCGCGTCAGCTGTTTAGTTACGCCCCTTCGTTTGTTTACGGCAGCACTAGCTGTCAAATCATCCCATTCTAAAGAAAATCGGACAATATCACGATGGTTACGTTTGCACATACACTGATGCTTGGCAAGCGCGGGCATTTGATTACTGCTAGTGTAAAACGACACCACGCTTTCGGTAAATTAGAAGATTTATGTTATAAATAAAGTAAGATTTATTTTGTTACAAATAAAACTTTTTATTTTCAAGTTGCAGGGTACGCAGTCCATAACTTGCGTACATGGACACTGCTGAAAGCGAAAGTAAGAGGTTTATGCTCGGTGAAAATTGTCATGATCTTCTAGAGCAGGGTTCGCCAAAATTTTAAGCGACTGAGCTAACTGGCCATGAACCTTTTCGTGAGCTACCCATCAAAGTAGGAAAATAATACGTGTTTTTGTTTAAATAACAGTTGTTTATTACCTATAAATATACATTTCTAGTTTATATTAAATCTCATTAAATACGATGTAATGCACTTATACGTGCCAGATCCGCGCACGTAGTGGTGATGAGTAGTGCAGATTTGCCAACCCAAACGCTGAATCTGAAATATCTCCGCGAGCTCCCAGCTCGCGAGATATGGTTTGGCGACAGCTGTTTTAGAGTGTGGCGGAAATAATGCACTTCAGCTTAAGCAGACAAAAACCCTCTATAATACGTCGGCCAGACCTTTAGCTTTTTAGACAACCGCTTAGAGACGAAACCAAGAGTTTGGACCGTGTCGTCCGATAGTTTTTGTTGAAAACCAGCCTCAGCCGTGAGGAATGTTTATATCCGGAAACAATCTTGAGTGCGTCAGTAAAACGTGCCATAGTAAAGTACCATTAGCAAGCGAGTACTGGCGTTCCCGGAACGCGGAAAGTAAATTAACGTAAGTAAATTGAATATGATTAATAGGTTTGCATCCTTTAATTTGTACAATGGGCCTTGAATATTAGCAGCTTTCGGGAAAAAAATGGCGGTAGAAATTAAGCATTCTTAAGAATTTTGTCAACTCATTAACCAGCGTGGTTGGTTTCAACTTAATACTAAGAGGTAATATTTCTTTGTTAGAAATAGTGACCTAAAAATTCTACAGTGGTGTGGCCAAAACGACATTTATTTACATTAATCAACATTTATTTACATTAATCAACATTCCGTTCTTTTGTAAGGCAGTAAACTCTGTTGAACGTGCCGGATATTATATATTAATTGTACAATTAAAAAATGTATAGTACGCGAATTAATCTCATTTTCCTTGCATTCCCCCAAATGAAACTGATCTCTATTTCTAGTAATCTATTTTTTGACGATCTGAAGGAAAGATCCACCATCCTGACGATCTGAAAGTCGACGCGCCAAATTCATCACGGAATGTCATTTTTTAAGATATATTTTGTTTCAGGATAATTATTTGCATCCATCTTTTCTTGAACCTCCGTATACGAATATTGTTTAAATAGATATGTCAAGCAACGCCTCTCAATATTGTAGTAACATAACGCGGCAATAAAATTCATTTTTTTTTGTCGCAGTAATGCCGAAATTTCTGCATAAATCGTGAGATTTTATGATTAAATGCTGAACATACCACGAAATGTTAGTGTTATTACTACCTCGTCCAAATTAATAATATCGGCTCTGCCTCTATTTTACTTCCTCGCGCGTAAGTAGTTTCTTAAGAAGAGAAAGTTATGTAATGCCGCGCGGAAAAAAGGCGAATTTTCGGTAGTAAAAGTCTTGTAACTGGCTCTGGAAACGAGAAAGTGGATATATCGAGTTGCTACATTTAGAAAGGGAAAGAAATCTTCTAACTTGTGGTGAATTAATGTTTTATAAGTCCTTGATACCGAAAAATCGATTGATGGCAAAAGGTTTGTCCGTCCATCTATGAACAACGCTAGCGGCTAAACTGTTCAACGGATTTTGTCCTAAGTTGATATTCCGTGATCAATACGGCTTATGTCGGTGTTCCTTGAATTTGAAACGGACATTTTAATTTTGGGCTTTACCTGAAGCCCCTGAGACATTTTCAAAATTTGTAAAAAAAAAAAAATGGCGCCATCGATTTTGATTAAAATTTGCTGTAGGGTA